TTGTCACTCCTTTAGACCTTGGAGTAGAAAGCTGCAGGGGTCAGTCTTGAGCATTCTTCTAACTCACTATTTAATGCCAGCAGCCATTTTGTTCAGGATGGTTCCAGTTGGGCTCTAACCTACAGCCCCTGTTTCTGTGCCCAGACAGTCTGTATAAAACATGGTGTCTGCCCAGAGATCTAGTTTCCCAGGAAAGTATTTTGGCTCACACCTGTATTCATTGCACCCAGGAGACAGAGAAAGCACTGAGGGATTATGCTACAAATTGTAGTTGTGACCCGCTGTATGGGTGCTAAGAAGCTAACGTAGGTCCTCTGCAAGTGCTCTTAGTGCACTAGTCATCTCTCTAGCCATAGGGAAGCCTGATTTAGCAGCATCCTTGGCCTGTAGCCACTAGACTAAAAAAGACAAAACAACCTTTCCCTACCTATGACCACCAAAACTGTCTCCAGAAACTACTAAATTACTTTGGAGATAAAATCACCCCAGTGTGAGAAATAGAGTGCAGGATAAATTGTTTTCCCAGATGAGGAAAACAAGGTAGATTTAGATTTACCAGAGGGTAAATTCTTGTAAGAGGCAGGATTTACATCTTCCTGACTCTAATCTTTGGAACCTGATTTCAGAGCCATTCAGGCCCTCTTTCTGATGATGAGCTGCTGAGCTGTTCCAAGGAAATTCAGATAGCCTAGGCTGCCCACTGGTGGTTTCTAAGAGCTCACTACTCTTAGGATGGACTGGCCATGGAAACTCAGTCCAGAGTTTAGAGACAGACACACAGCAGGAGAGCATCAGTTACTTCTACCAGTCATCTTAACATAAATAGTTCTGCAACTTTGCCTGACCCATTCATACATAGATGTTCTCATTTCAAAAAAAAGTACGAAGATCATTTTTTGTTCATGGATAGTTTCTATCTGTTGCAAACAATGGATGAGTGAAGCTCAAAGTTGCAAACCAGTTCAGTCAGTCTAGAGGAGTTTCTGGAATGATTTAAATAGCCCTGACAATGTAGGTCGCTATTTTTAAGGCTGAGGTAAGTGTTTGAAAGTGGTTCACACAGCCATGATCTCAGATAGGAGTTACAGAACATTAGAATTGCAAGAAGTCTCAAGGATTTGCCTGGAAAAAGAAGAAACTGGCCCTCTGTACCCTAGATCACAGAGTTTCTGATTAAAAAAAAATCTGTCATTCCTTCTGCCGTGGAGTAGTTGAGCTCATCAACTTCTAAGTTTATGGGGAAAGATCACTACTTGTTTCAGCCTCTTCTTGCAAGACTGGGAAGGAAAATTGATTGAGTCTTTTATTCTTTTTCCACTCTGAGTCCTATGTTGTTTTCTCTAGACTCTGTACTAGGCACCATGCTACATAGTTTACTACACAGCGTTAATATTCTTACACTAACATGAGTTCTTTTACAGAGGAGAGAAACAGGTCTTGATGAGGATAGGCAGGTCAAGTGATTTGTTCAAGGTTATGGACAATAAATGGAAGAGTCTGTTTGTCACCTGGCAATTCTTAACCTCTAGTGTACATCAATATTGCCCAAGTGTTATATGAGATATAGGTCTACTTAAAAATCATTTATGGAAATTTATAATTTAATATAGTGTCCTGCAAATGGTGATGCCAGACCACAAATTATGTCAGTGGGCCCATCATCAGCAACACTGGTAGAAGTTCTACAGAACTGCTAGGGTCCTGCCTAGTGCTGGTCAGGAGCAATCTTGAGTTTGAGATGCCCTTGGATAAGAAAAGTAAAACCTCCTTCAAAGAGAAGAGATTGTACAATGGCCCCAGCCCCTGGTATTGTGCCTAAGAACGAAGAAGAAGAAGAAGAAGAAGAAGAAGAAGAAGAAGAAGAAGAAGAAGAAGAAGAAGAAGAAGAAGAAGAAGAAGAAGAAGAAGAAGGATATGAGTCTCTCATAGGCACCCACATGGACCATTATTGCCCCAAATGAAGATTTCTGCCCAGAACAGTGTCAGTTTTGCAGTATTACCACAGCTGCCTGGCCCCTGCTAAGGAACTAAACAGGATTTCTGAATTTGTTAAAGCAAAACAGCCACTCTGGTGTCCCACAAGGGCTACCTCTTACCATTCTTTGCTCATGCCTACAGTCCCAGCACTTAGGAAGATGAGACAGAAGGATTGCTGTGAATTCAAGATAAACCTAGGCCACGTAATGAATTCCAGGACAGCCTGAGATATAGAATGAGATCCTGTTTTAAAATACACAAAACAAAATATACTGGTTAGAAAAGGTTGTGCTAGCAGTGAAAGAATGGGCCACCTGGGAATAGTGAACCCCTTGTGATAAGAGCAGAGGAAGGAGGTCTCTAGAGCCTTGCTCCAGCTAGTAGAGAGGATTCACTATCTCCCAAGGTGATACAATCTACTGAAGCAGGTCTCCCAGTCACCATACTGCACAGGAGCCCCTCCCTAGTTCTGACATCTGTTCTTGATTTTTTCTCAAGACTGTCATGGATAGATACTTTACAAGAGTCTTGGTTTGTTCTCCTTCCACTTTTAATTTGCTGGGTTTTACTGAAGCCTTTGTGACCTACATATTTTAAGTCAACTCATTAACAGGCAGATGTAGCGATGTCTGATCTTAATTAGTCCATCATTTGTTTTGATGCTCCTTGACCTAGAGAAGCACAGTTAGTATGTGTGGTGGTTCTGTTCTGGTGGTAGTTTCTGGTCTAGCAGTGATTTTCGGTCTAGCAGTGGGTTCTGGTGCTGGCATTTCATTTTAGGCAGAGACTTTATTTGAAAACATCTTGCTGAATGGTTGTTTGCTACACTCTGGACATACTACCCAGGACAGAATGTGATATATAATAAAATTCAGCAAATAAAATAGAATTCAAGCTTCCTGTAGCTCCTCATTAAAATGCTGTGTTTGACATTTCAATTGTATTAGGGAGCCTGTGCCTTTCCTTAGGTGATTAGTATTTCATGTTGTGTGTGTGGAAAAGGGCCAGGACAGAAAACCAAGGGGGAAAAAGGCATCCTGTGTTTGTCCCTCGGAGGAAAAGTGTTAGCAGGAACACAATATATAATTTAGGATTCCAAAATAAATCATAACGTTCTGTAAATAAGCTCCCTTCCAAAGTCAAGAATAGTCTTTGTGTCACTTCTAAGTCTATTCCAGCTTTGGGGAAAAGTTTTAAACAACCATATTGACTGTATTCCCACCTCTAAGAGCTTATTTTCTTGGTCCCATCTTAGAAAGCTTTCTAAAGGTGATCCCTGCTGGCATAAAGGGAACTGCTGTGAGGATTTGTTTGTGTGTTTGTTTGTTTGTTATAGTACCTCAGGGTAGCAGATTCATGTGTGCTCTCACCTGGGGGAAACAGCAGTTTTTTTGTTTCCTTCAAAACCACCAGAGGAAATTGCCACTGCTGACATTTGCATAAGCCAGGGAAACAAAAGAGGTGGCCATGTATTTTCTTTTAATAGTCAATGAGCAAGAAATGGCGCTATAGTGGCATTCTAAATTTACCACTCCTATTAATTTTGTGAACACTTTTAATCCTCACTCTTTATTGGAGGAGGTAACAATACTGAAATGAAGTTAAGAAAAAGCAATGGAAATGGGTTTAAATTATGCAGATCTTCCTCTCCTGCAGAGGAGTCACAGGAAATGGGCTTGCATCTCTTGACACAGGTTGAGTCACTGGTTGGACAGATGTGGTGGCGGAGCAAGGGCATTGAAGAGAGAAGTATTGCTTTGGATATTCACCATAAAGGGCAAAAGGCTGCATGAAAGCCACCATGTAAGGCTGCGCAAGTTGCACCCTATGCAAGACGACTAAGCCAGGGAGGCAGGTGACAAGTGGAATCCTAGTCAGCCTGCATTCACTCTCTAGGCTGCTCTTCATTCATCACACCAGAGAAAGAGCTTCTTTCTTGGTGTAAAGGACTCTGGTGGCTGCTGCTGCACTGACGATGAGCCCCTGCAAACATCCTCACCACTCTTTACCTGCTCACTTTGATTGGTGACAGTCTGGCGTTTGGAACCACTGAAGGATCCTAGAGGCTGGCTATCAAATGAGCTACTTCTCTTTGATCTCAGGCACCACCTGATGAGGGATGTGGACTAAGGTTAAAATGACATTCCTTGCTTCCTTCCAGTATCATGGGTAAGGACTGAACAAGTGTTGAGCATTTGTGGGAAGGCAGGGATGAAGAATACAAACCAGCATTTGGTGATCACTTCAGAAACTGGCTACAGGTCTCCAGTTATGGACTGTGACTATGCAATGCTGCCTGTCACAATGTCATAGGAGTGATAGGCTGTTTCTTTTGCTTTTAGAAAACATATATATATATATATATATATATATATATATATATATATATATATATAATATTCTTCAATATTTCACTGTACTGACAGACAAATTGACTTTGGGGCCTTAGAAAGTGGAAAAGATAATGTGTGAATATTTGTTGCATCTTAACAGTGAGGGTTTCTCTACCGTTCTATGAATGACTTTGTTTGCCATGTGCTTACTGTGAATATACATTTTTTATTTTGGTTGTAAGAATCCAGGAAACTTCACCTTGCTTTTTTTCATAAAAATATAAAACTTTGACTTATCTTCATGTGTGCTGCTTTATATGACAACGTGAACTCTGTGTATGTGCCTGAACTGCCTAAATATCTAGCATATCTAATATGCTTCTTATGGTCAGATCTACAAAGAACTTTTGATCAAAGCTTCCCATAACAAAGTTACTTAATTTTACTAACCCATTGGTTTCTTATGCATATAGTATATGAGTATACTTCCATGTGGATTCTATAGAAAATAAGTGCTCTATTGCATGCAAAATGCCTAGCATGCTATCTGATGCAAAGACATTCTTTACAGTTGGTATATGATCAGTTATGAACACAGCTCACAATTTAGAGGAATAAGACATTAACTCTGTGCAGTGATCTCAAAGTATGTTCAAGAGTCAGAGGTGATGATGTTCTCTTTGTTTCCAGCCACAGGACCAAGTCTTCGGGCTGGCCGCCTCCCTCAGGAACCTGGGCCTTGAACCAGGTACCACCCTATGGATGGGAGATGATGACAAACCGAGATGGCCGTGACTACTTCATCAAGTAGGTTAAAAAGACACCAAAGAATTTGGCCAATGCTCTTCTAGTTTTGTTTTGTTAGCAAGGGTTTTATTTATTCTTTGATTATCACATATGTGTATAGAATGTTTTTTGATCATATTGTCCCTCTATTTCCCTCTTGTATGCCCTTTCCCTCTGGAAACTTCTTCTCAACATGTCCCCTTCTTACTTTTGTATCTTTTTCTTTTTCTAGTAACTCACTGAGTTTAATTAGGGTGGCTTACATGTGCATGTATGTGGGACTATTGACTGGATAACTGGATCACTGGTAATTACCTCCATAGTATGGCAATTCTTGCTCACAGCAGAAGTGTGCACTATTAAACATTAGGTCAGTTGCATCCATTGTCTGAAACTGAAGAATGATGTGGAATCTGGTTATTTCAAACATTTTCAAGGAAGGGTCAAGAATGTTACTGAGTCATCTACTAAAAGGATTATGTGTTTTTTTAACCTCTTGCTATAAATTTTTGTTCATATATTGGTTTAGATTTCAGATTTTTATGATAGTCTTATTTTGGTTGTGTTAAGTGAATATACATCACAGAATTTCCTACTTAAGCCATTTTGGATGTATTATTTAGTAGCATCCATGGTGTTATGCACTTACCACTGTCCATTTGAATGACTTTTGTATCACCCTTATCTTCAGTTGTTTCCTGTTGCTGCACTAAACTAAACCGCTCTGAAGGTTTGCAACTTGGAAGAGGAAAGAGTTTATTTAGCTTACACTTCTGGGTCACAGTATATCACTGAGGGAAGTCAGGGCAAGAACTCAAGCAGGGACCTGGAAACAGGGACTGAAGCTGACACCATAGAGGACAGCTGCTTGCTGGAGTGTTCTCCATGGTTGGCTTAGCATATTCTCTTACACAACCCAGGACCACCTTCCAGGCATGGCACTACCCATAGTAATCTGGGTACTCCCACATTAACCATCAGTCAAGAAAATGCTGCTGTAGACTTTCCTACGGGTCTATCTGTGGACAGTGTCTTCTCAATTGACATTCTATTCCTTCAAATGACTCCAATTTGTGCCAAGTTGACAAAAGCAAACAACACAACCCTTCAAAGAAATCTCCTAAGCAGGGCATTGCTGCTCTAAGATGGTGTCTGCCTAAGAACAATGTAAGCCAATGTCACAAGATATAGAAAGTACAGGAGGGGATTGAACTGCTTGAGTAATGGTTTCCAAGTACCTTTGAGTTCCCACTTTAATTGTATTCATTCTCCTAAGCAAATCAAAGCTAGAAGTTGGATGTGGCCACTGGTAAGTTGCGTATGTCCAGTAATAAGTATTTATTTCTCCTGCTTTTATCTCCCAGTAGCACCCAGTCTCTTTTCTATCTCTATAAATTTACTTATTCTAGGAACCTCATCTAAGTGGAATCATACAATATTTGTTCTCTTCTATCTGGCTGGTTTAATTTTACATAAAGTTTTCAAGAACCTATCCATATTATGTGTTAGAATTCATTCTTTTTTAATGCTGGATAATAGTCCACTGAATGTATATACCACACTTATTAATTCATCTGTCACAGGATACTTACATTGCTTTTACCTCTCGACTACTAAACAGAGCTGCTATGAACATGGTTGAATAGATTCACTGATGTGGGTATAGTTTGAGGATAGTGTTTGTTCTGCACGTACAAGTCCCTAGGTTGAACACACACACACACACACACACACACACACACACACACACACACACACACACACACACACACACATTTTCTTCCTGTTTTCACTTGTTTGGAGTCTACACCAGAGTTGGAATGGCAGAGCCATATGCAATTGATGGATCAAAGTTCGATTCTATGCTTCACTCTTTAAGACACTACCAAGAGTGGTTTCCAGAGCAGCTGTCATCATCTAGATTTTAACAGTTTTGCAGTTTGGTGAGAAGGGCATTTACAGTGTGTGTGTGTGTGTGTGTGTGTGTGTGTGTGTGTGTGTGTGTGTGTGTGTGTGTGTTTTAAACAGAGAGCCTTTGTTCTCCAACACTACTGAAATATTCTTAATTACAAGAAATTAGTGAAATAGATTTGGAATCAGGAAGCACAGTTGGCAAGAGTCCAGTTATAATTGAGTAGAGATTTGAGAGGAAGGGAAAAATTATTTTTCCTACCACAGGCTGTTTTCTTTGTTTCAGCCAAGCTGCCTATGCATTTATTAGCAAGTATAAGATGATATGGGAATGGGGGTCATTTTTATAAAGGTGTTTTCTAGATTTTTGGGGTCTTCTCTATTCCTTACTCAAGCCCACACCAAGTGAGGATTGCTGGCAAGCCAGCAGGGTAAAAACTCACAGGATTGATTGTTGTGGCTGCTTTTCTAGTCTTTATAACCCAAATCCCTCCTCTTCTCCTTAATTGCTACAGAGGGAAGAAGACCTCCTCTCTTGGGTCCACAGCTAACCCAGGAACTGCCTCTTGAGGGCACCTTAGGAAGACCTGCGTTTCCCTTAAACATTACCCATGCCAGGGAACATAGAAGTGCCTTATGCCTTTTGGAGGCTGTGCTCACAGAGAAAGAAGCATGAGTATGGTCTTTGGAACCTAGTCTTAGAACACTCAAAAGACAAGGAAAAAAGACCAGTAGTTTGTCTCACACCCTGGATTCTAACTGTTAGTTTTGCATAGTTTGTCCAAGTCCTTTCTTCTGTTAAGACAATGTATGATATTATAATATGCCATCTGTTTTCCAACATGGCTACAGATGCACTCAGTTGGTTCAGATAAAGTAATCCAGATATTTGCATTCAGAACTGGAAAAAAATGAGGCAATGAAATGTATTTTTTAAAGGCATGAATTGGGACTTTATAAAGGTATATTTCAGACTTTTATGATTAATGTCTAGTTTTCTTTTCTCCTATTTGGCTTTTAGGGGGGGTTACATACATTCCAGATACTCTCTCAAAAGGTAGTAACCCAAACTGTGGCTTGCTAGTGAGGGCTTCTGGGAATAATGGCTAGCTAGCTCTACCTTAAGAATTGTCATTAGCTCCATTTAACATTTATATGGGATGATCATGTGTCAATTTAAGCTTTCTACTGCTCTAGGTCAGCTGTCAAACTATAAGAGACAAGTGGTTACTCAAAGAACTTGCTCTGACTGCTGTTGCTGGATTTGAAAACCAAAACCATCAGCATCATTTTCCCAAAGTAGTGTTATTTTTTTTCTTAAAAAGTAAGCTTCTATAGTCCTTTCAGGGAATTCATAAGATGTCTAGCATAATACTCCTCTGGAAAGTGCTTGTTCTTTCCCTATCACTAATGAGTCTGATAAATAATGAGAATTCCTCTACCTACTGAGTTATGGCCATTACAGGGAGAAGCTGTAATTATCAGTTTCTGGAGAGCCCAGGTTTACAATACAGAGTATTTCTGTATTCATTAGCATTCTTAGTTAAAAGGACAACTGGGAAACTGATGTATGGTTAGTAATTAGCCCCTTTGCATTTATTTTTTTCACTTGTTTACATATCTTTTGAAGGAGATTGGGTTTTTTTTAATCTTTTCTTAGGATGCATATAATATCTGCATCAGACAGTTGCTTTCACTGAGTGATGGACCAAATGGTAGGAGGAATCAGGCTTTGTGTATTCAAAGTTGCAGTCTGATAGCTAAATAATGAGAGAATTCTTTCATTATGAGTCTTGCAGTACATGGCCTAAGATACTACAAATTTTAAGTTGCATCTACATGTGTAATTTCCCATTATTTAGAACAGAGATGACAGACTAGTTTCTATAAGGACTTATTGATCCATGGGTTTAAAAAATGAAGAAGGGGCTAAAGAGATGGCTCAGTAGTTGAAAACACCTGCTATTCTTCTAGAGAACATGGATTTTATTCTTAGCACCCAATTGGTGGCCCACAATCTTCTGTAACTCCATTTGCAGAGGATCCAGTGCTCCCTTCTGGCCTCTGTGGGCACAAGGCATGTACATGGTACACAGACGCACATGCAAGCACACACCAGTACACACAAGGTAAAACGAACAAAATGAAGGGTACTGATTCACATAGACACTTGTGTGGCACCTCATACTTTGGAAACTAGTAATTTTTAACCTTTCCTACATATTAGAATAGCTTAAGAAGCAATAAGATCCTGATGCCTGAGCCTGGGGTAAAGTCTGGAAACAGAATGCACCCAGATAATTCCACAGAATAGCTATGGCAGCTACACTGAAGCAGTTTTCTGCACCTGATTCTTTTATTTGGCCTCAGCACTGGTGATAAAACATAGACTAATCATGTGGCATTTCCAAAAGCACATACATTTGCTGAATTAGAATTCATTGTGTTTAGAAAGGACCACTTTCATTGCTACATTCGTAGAGACATTTGAATTACAGATTTTTTTTAGTGGTACCAATGATGGAATCTATGCTTTCATACATGTGAACATGTTACCACAGAGCTGCACCACCAACCTGAAGTGCAGTGTTTGGGGAACAGAGAGCATTTTTAAAGAAATATGACAAGCTGGGCTCTGTGGCAAGTGCCTGTAATTTCAACACTTGGGAGGTGATGGCAAAAGGAATAGAGTGGAAGGCCTGCATTGTCCCCAAAAACCACAAACTTGAAGGAAACTTGACACAATACAAAACAAAAGTTTTTCCATACTTATTATTACGAATTAGGAGAGAGAGCAGGCCTGAGGATGGGATAGAAGCATAAAAGAATTTAGAAACTACATGGAAAGGAAAGAAGCTTAGGACAATATATCATGGTGAGAACTGGCTAAGAGAGGGAAAGGTGAATAGAATAAGAAACACACAGGAACAAAGCAAGATAGCTGAAATTATTATCATTATAACAGCATCAATGATCCATAAGTCTAGGTGTCTGTAGAGATGGGTACTGATACATATATAGTTGTGAATATAGATATGGACACAGAAATCAATGCAGACGGATACAATATAGATATATATTGTGTATATATATTGGTTTATGTATAAAAT